CGCCCGTCATCGCCTTCCCCTCGAATGCCGTCATAGCCGCCTGAGTCACCCACCGGGGGCGGGGAGAATGCAGGAGCCCAGAGCCGTGCGGGCCCTCGCGCGAGGGTTCCAGAGGCCCGGCCACTCTCTGCACTAAGCTCAGGGAAGCTCACTAGGTAAAGAGTCAAGATTCTCTTCCCTTGGTGCCGTGCTTTTGGTCCCCGGGGAGAGAAACGCCCATAAGAGAGGCCTCCTGCAGGCCACAGTCCACTGCTCGCGTCTCAGACCACTCCCCTAAGAGACATTCTGCTAAATTCCTGCGTCCAGCCATTCACCATACAAGCAGGTGTTAGTGTCCTCTCTCTGCTGTAATAGAAATGCCATGCTAAGACAGAGTCCCAGTCCCAAGGTGTTTACTATCCAAGGGGAGAAATGAGACTTAAAAGCCATCATGTGGTACCACCTCTTAGAAAGCTCTTTGCTCATCTATGATAGATAAAGGCGCGCAGGCGCGATTACCCCGCGGTTGCACTCCTAGCTATACGCCCCTAGAAACTACCATACTTATGAGAGGACATGTACAATAACGCTTGGAGCAGAGTGGTTTGATTGCAAAAACCTGTAAAGAATCTAAATGTCCATCAGTGAAAGAAATGGATAAATTTGTGGTATAATATATACAGCACTAGAAAGTATCTAGTTACAAGTATTGACATGGATGAATCTCAAAAATAAGGCAAAGGAGAAAATGAAATTGCAGAAATACCTTCGTAATAACATGTAAAGTGTAACGCCAAGCAAAACAATGCCTAGGGATATAAGTATATGTAATAAAAGTGTAAAGACACATATGGAAAGATAAACACACAGCTAATATGACGCTTGAAAGACTAAAGTTTTTTCCCTTGGGTCAGGAACAAGGCAAGATATCTGCCCTCACCATTTAATGGTCCTAGTCAGTGCAACAAGACAAGAAAAAGAAATAAAAAGCATTCGAATTGGTTTTATTCAAACACGGAATGAATGTATATGTGGAAAATCTTGAATCTCACTTCATCCCCACCCCAAAATTACTAGAACTTATAAGTGTATTTAGCAAGGTCACAGAATTGAACTAGAAATGGATTATACACCTAAATGTAAAGCTAAAACTATAAAACTCCCGGAAAAAAATGTAGGAGAAATTTTCATGACCTTGGGTTAGGCAAAGATTTCTTAAATAGTATATACACTATTTGAAAACACAAACTTAAATAAAAGACACTTAAAATGAAAAGGTAAGCCTCTGGCTGTGAGAAAAGACTTGCAAAAGATATATCTGGTAACAGATTTAATTCCAGAATATATAATCAACTCTTAAAATTCAATAATAAGCAAATTATTTTAAAATAGGCTAAAGATTTGGACTCTTCACCAAAGAAGATATGTGAGCAGCCAATAAACATAGGAAAAGTTTCGCAGCATCATTTATCTTTGCGGAAGTGCAAATTAAAACTACAATGGCTACAGCCATGCCACCCTGAACATGCCCGATCTCATCTGATCTCGGAAGCTAAGCAGGGTCAGGACTGGTTAGTACTTGGATGGGAGACCACCTAGGAATACCAGGTGCTGTAGGTGTTTAAAAAAAAACTACAATGAGATGCCACTACACACCCATTGGAATAGCTAAAATTAAATGGGCTGACAATAAGTGTTGGCTAAGATATATGGAGCAAATGGAACTCTTACACATTGCTAACAAGAATGTAAAATGGTACAGATACTTTGGAAAAGTTTAGAAGTTTCTCATAAAGTTAAATATACACTTACATGTGATCATAAAACCACTCCTAGGTATTTACCCAAGACAAATGAAAATATATGTCTACACAAAGACCTGTATTTAAATGTTAACAGCAGTTTTATTCACAATAACCCCAAATTGGAAACGACCCAATGTCCATCAGCAGATGACTGGATGAATAGGTTATGATACATACACAGAATGAAATACTACTCATCAATAAAAAGGTATAAATTACTGATATATACAACACATAGATTTCAAAAACATTACAGTGAATGAAAAAAGACAGATACGAAAGGTTTGTAACATACTTTATATAATCATATGAAACTCTGGGGGGAAAAAAATCTAATCTTTCTAAAAAGAAAGAGTCATTGCCTGTGACCAGAAGTGAGGAAAAGATTGAATGGGATGGGATGTATAGAAAATTCCAGGAAAGATAGAAGTGTTTTATATCTATTGGGATAGGGACAAGAGTATATAAATGTATCAAAACTCATTGAAGTGTACACTTAAAATGGTTGCACTTTATTATACATAAACCAGATTTTTGCCTTGGGAAATCAGATGGACAGTATGCCATTTACAGATGTAGGAAACACAGAAACAGCATATTTGGAACTAAGAAGTTATCTGGGAAATGTTGAGTTTGAGATGTTCTTTGTGTAGACACGTTTTCAATTCTCCTGGGTAAATACTTGGGAGTGGAATTGCTGGATCATAGTAACTTTAACTTTTTGAGGAACTGTTTTCCAAAGCAACAGCACTATTTTACATTCCTACCAACAATGAATGAGGGTTCCAATTCTCCACTTCTTTGTCATACTTATTATTGTCTGTCCTTCCTAGGGAGTTGTTGTGTTTTTATAACAAAAAGCAACAGTTAAAATACTGTGGGCAAGCACCTTCTCTGATCAAGCATAGTACCCAATCAATCACAGGTGGTAGATTAGGGGCTAATGTTATACTACTGCCCTATTCTACTACCTGTGGTGGCCTCCCTGACAGTTATGGGCAGTGGTTCTCAAAATGTGGTCCGCAGACCAGCAGCACCAGCATCACTTGAGAATCAGTTACAAATGCAAAGTCTCAGACTCTACCCCAGACTGTACTGAGTCAGGGACTCTGGAATGAGGCCCAGGTCACTGTGATTCCTGTGATTCTGCCCCTCAACGTCAGCTTTAACTATCTTATTAGGGACAATTAATATGCACCAAATCCATCACATCCTGTAAATGACGATAGTGGCCACAGAAAGAGCTTTTTGAACAATTCAATCATGTAACTCAAGTAGAAGGGTGTGATACTTTCCAGTGATGAGACCAGTGTTGATGTAAAATGTTCACAATAATTAATTTTGGACATGGAAAACCCAGCTGGAAGGTAAATAGGAATTTCACAAGCACTATCCAAGGCCATAACACGTATTTCTCTCACACTTGCTGTTTTAAATACTCCTCATCCATTCAACATTTCAAAGAGCATGCTATCATAGTTCTCCTTTAGCTCGTTGGCAGGAAAATGGCACAGGAGCCATTCACAGAATTGCTTCACAGGACAATCATTTGAAACAGCAAAGATGGCGTCACCGATACCATGTGAAATAGACCAGAAATACTCCCGTGACCCATATGTTGATTACCATCTAAAAAAAATTCTTTGGAGAACTACTCTATGTTTCTTTCATACAATGCCATTTAAAAATCTCTACATTTCTTACAAGCTTACAAACTCAGTTATTAGGGTAGAGGAAGCCTCTTTGTAGCTACATTTTTGTTGCTTCCTTCAGATATTCGTTGGATTCACTACTTCTCTGCATCTTCACCTGGGAGTGATCAGCATTAGAAAGTAAAGCCAGATTTAAATCAAGCCTGGTTTGCTCTTGTTTAGCAAGTTCTGCCCAGGTCGCCAGGAGAGGAAGAACACTCACATGTGCACGTGGATGTCGAGGAAGAACCACGTGTCTAAACAGCAACAAGCTCACCATCAGAGCAGAACTGCTGTAACTATTCCACTTGTTCCTTGAATCCCATTCTTCACTAATTGAACTATTTTTATAGCATTTCTCTTGTCTGAGACACCACAGTGTCTCTTAGTGAATTCAAAACCTTCTGGTAAGTGTCCAGAATATCCTGAGCAGTGGGTCTCTCTGCAGGAGTCTGGCTCTTACATGCCTTATGAATATCAAACAAATGGAATCGGACCATATCACTCCCTTCGACGTGCCCTAAAAGGAAACTAGAGACATCTGGAATCTTCCATATGTCGATCTTCTCATCATACGAGGGCATGAGATCATCGTGAAATGGCATGTCCTCTCCATAGGGCCACAGCTGCTCTGGGGCCACAAAATCCCCATGAAGCTCCCTGTGGCCACATTTCACAAATGTCCCAGAGCTGCGGTTCACCAGCGGCAAGGCGTCCAGGTCATTCACCACAATGCTGAAGTTACTCGTCAGCAGGTACTGGGACAGTGTCTTGGGCAGGTCACTGGAGTCACACATGACTAGCGTACCCCGGGGGCTGTGGTGCAGGTAGTTGATGATGCCGACATAATCCGTGGCCAGCTGCAGCCTGTGCTGCCATGTGTTCACGTTCCGGTACTTGGAAAGGTTTAGCGTTTTTTCCAGGCTGCTCAAGGGCCCTAAGGGGTGATATTCAGTAAGAATAGTGTTGTCATCCTCACAGTAACCAAGCAGTGTGACAACATGTTTACTCTGCAGGGATTTCAGCATCTGCAGTCCGTGAAGAAAATCGTCTTTCATCTCCAGACTGGTGAGCCGTGAGAGAGCAACTTTGCGTTCCTTCCACTCAGACAGAAAGACCTGAAACAAAGCCACAGATAACGTCAAACCTGGAACCTTCACCTGTGTTAGGGAGCCAGGAAATAAATTAAATATATTTTAAATGCCAGATGTGGTGCATAGGATATAGAAATTAATGAGACACAGATCATGCTAGAGCAGGAGGAAGTGGGGGTGGGGGGTTCTCACTCTGGTCAGAGTTCTGAAGGCCATCAGGAGAGGGTACTGGAAGGCTCCCGGGAGCTGGTCTAAAGAATGACTGGGGCTTACAGGTAGATGTGGAGTGTGGGGAGAGCACTCCCAGGAGGAGGCGCTGCATATATAAAGGCACTGAGTGGCAAACAGACTGGCGGTTCCAAAATACTGCAGCACAAAGCGGGAGAGGGAGGAGGAAGAGAGAAGATTGGAAAACCCTACACTGGGGAGAGGAGCCTAGCCAGCCCATCACACATCACAGATTACTCATTAATTTTAAAAGGTAGCACAGTAAACCACAAAAAGGAACTGTTCTATGTAAGGACATTGTGACATGGTCTGTGGGTTTTCGTGACTTCAGCTGTAAAAGAAGGAGCTGTAACACCACACAAACACTACATCTGCCCATCTGGGTATACAGCTACCAGAAGAGCAACTGTACAGGTCTGCCTTGGATTCTCCATTGTTATTAATTAGAGGAAAGGCTTGCAGGAAGCACTGTAACTAAGAATCTCCCATCTTCTGCTTAAATCTCCAAAGGAAAGCAGACGACTACAAAAGAGAAAACAGGATTGGAGATCAGATTGCTGCCCCAGGCTGCTTCTACCCAAAATGGGCCGTGTCTCTCTGGGCTTCTACTTCTTCTTCATTAAAAAAAGGTTATCATTTTCAAAAGCAATTTGGGGCATCATTTATCAAGAGCCTTGAACATCTAAGTCTAAAATCTACCTAAGGCAACAGTCTGAAATAGATTTTTTTAAGAAAAGCTCTAGGAATGAAAAAACCTGGCATTATTTATAAAAGCACAAACTAGAACCTATCCATCTATCAAAGAATGGGGAGTAGCTCAGTTACAACAGGGTCACCGAAAAGAATATTATGTGGTCAGCAAGACACATATTTTGAGTTTTCACAAATAAAGCATGCTACAAATGAAAGAGGGTAGAAAATTGTTTTTATGATTGTTCTAACTGCATAAAACAAGACAAAATTTCATAGAAGTTGAAAAAATGGGCTAATGTTTCAGTTCTCTTTTTATGGTAAGATTCTGGGTGATCGTTTTCCTTTATACTTTTTGGTATCTTCCAATTTCCAGAATTAATATATATTCCTTTTATATTTAAAAACATTTTTCAAAAGAACTCAGAAATATTATATCAAATAGAGGTGGGCTAGAGGAATTTGAGGATTTCTTTTGGATCTGAGAAGGATGATTCATTAATGGAAAAACCCAGGTAACTACAATTGACCTTTAATATTCAAAAGTGACATCTTTTAAGACGTTCTTGAAAACCCAAATTTGAGAATTTCACTATGTATCATAATTTCTATTAAAAAGTCATTTTGTTGTGGATGCTACACTCAAAGTTTCATGAATATAATTTTTATTTTTATATAGAACACATTCCCTCCATAGATTTGTATCAGCATTGAATTCGATATACTCTAATGCAAAAATCTTACTTTCTGTTGAGATTTGTCACTTCCTTAGACCTACCTCTCTGCACAGTCATCACCAGCACTAGCTGATGGCTTTGGTTTTCTAGGCCCATTTTTCACATACAAACAGTGATCACTTTGGAGAAGCTGCAACGATTTATTTATACATTTACTCAACAATAAATGATGGGAGAGGCTTCACTGCAGACCTCGGGACTTCCTCCTGAATCATTGTTAATATAGAATTATTTTTTGTGCCTTGGATAAATGAAAGATTATTATTTATTATTAAATATTAGTAGTCTTTGGGATCACTTACAAATATATGAAACCTTAAATATTTGCAAGTCAGGGATTGTTTAAGAATCATTTTTAACATTTAACATTTTCTTAAACTCTCTTATTTGGAGAAAACAGCTTTACTGGTTTCTTTTTATTATAAAATAATGAATACTTGTCTTGGTAAAAGTTCACATACAGAAGTAGCTCTCTTCCCCCGGCATTTACATACCCATCCAAAGGAAACTTGTTAACTGGTTGGTAACTTCCTAGAAGTTTTTCTATGCTTTTATGTATATTAAGGTATACTTATAAAAATAGCATTTGAGCTTGCTATTATATAAAATGGATTTCTAACATATAATATCATATTGCAACTTGCTTTTTTCATTTAATTGATCCCTCAGAAATCTTTCCTATATGTATACATAGAGCTAGGTCATTCTTTTTAGAGTTGTATAATATTTCACAGTATGGGTATACTACATAATCTAGCATATTTTCAGTAAGGTTTTACAGATGATAATTTCTTTTTTAAAACTGAAGTATAATAAAAATTCATAAAATTTGGAATGAATGCTGTTACAATGTATTGAGTTCTCTTTCCCATCTAGCTCTATAATTTTATACAGACCTTCAACATGATCTTGTGATCTATTTTTAAAGACCTGATGGACATTTAGATTATTTCCCATTTTTCTTATTAACAACAGTGCTACAATGAATAGCCTTATATTTGTGTTTCTATAAATATCTGCAAGCATTTTTATAAGCTGCATAAGTGGTGAATTACTGAATAAAGAATATGTACTGCCCTCTAAAGTATGTGCTAACATGCACTTTCACCAACTGTGTATGAGAGAATCTTATTTTCTATAGCTTTAATCATACTAGATTTTATCAATCTGTGCCAATCTGGTGGATAAAAAATATATTACTGTTCCAATTTGAATTTCCCTGATTATTAATGAAACAGCACTTTTCATCTTTATTGGTATTTCTGTTGTCTTCTGTGAAAAGATGTTCATTGTCCTTTCTCTAACTTTCTATGAACTGTTTGCTTTGTGCTTATTCTTTTTCTAGGAGCTCTTTATATATGATTTATGTGATCCTTTATTATAAATGTAAAGGACAAATTTTAGAAAATAATTATCTTAATTTTTGTAACACAAAGAATTTAACTGTTATGTCATCAAATCTGTCTTCATTCATTTAACAAGTACAATGCAGGGATTAGGGGCACCCACCACCAGTGCAGTTGAAGATCTGAGTATAACTTAGGTGGGTCCTCCACATACACAGATTCACAACCACCAGTTGATCCTAGAACAACTCAAGTTTGAACTATGGTCAATTGAACAGCCTGGGTTAATTGAAAAATCCACGTAGAAGTGGACCTGCACAGTTCAAAGCCACATTGTTCAAGGGTCAACTGTATTTATGTCATTAGAAAATCTAAAATAAACCCCTGCTCCTATGTAATTTATGTTCTAGAGTAGGGGGCTTAAAATAAAGAAAATAAACAGGAAAAGCATAAAGTACATTGGAAGGTAAAATGTGTTTTGGAGAAAAATTAAGCAAGGAAGGATTTACAATTTTATATAGTACCAGGGAAGCTCTCACTGAGGTGCTGGTTGAGCAAGAACCTGATGGAGGCAGAGGAATGAGTCATGCAATATCCGGGGAAACCGCATCCCAGGCAGAAATAATAGCCAGGGCAAAGGCTCTGGGGAGGGAGCGTGCCTGCAGGCTGCCAACCAGCAAGGCCAGGGCAGCTAGAGTGGAATGAGCAAGGGGGCACGGAAAAGAAGTTGGTGAGGGGGCACGGACCTGGGAAAGCCTTTCAGTTGATGAAAGGACTCTCTGGCTTTTACCCAGTGAGACAGAGGGCCACTAGAGGATGTGAGCAGAGGCACTATCTGACTTATAATAGCAGCATTCTGGCTGCTGTGTTGAGAATAACTAAGGCAGTAGGAGTGGGGCAAGTGTAGAAGCAGAGACCACTTTGAAGGCTTCTGAAATAATCTAGGGACAAGATGATGGCTTGAATGGGGAGACGGGGATACGCGTAGAAGTCTGAGGAGATGTCTTCTGAGTGTAGAGACACTATAATCTGTTAATGGATTAAATGTGGTTGTGAGAGAAAGAGAGAAGTGAAGGATGCCTCCCAGGTTGGCAGCCCGAGCAACGGGGCTGATAGAGTTGTCACTAAATGCGATGGGAAAAATACAGGAAGAGCAGGCTGAGGGGGACAATCTAGGACACGCTCAGTTTGAGAAGCCTTTCAGACATCCGAGCGTAGATATGGGACAGGCAGTCAGATAGAAAAGTCTAGCAAGTCCAGGGGAGAGGTCTCAGCTGCAGAGAAGCCTCCGAGGATGGATGAGGCCACCCAAGGATCGAGCACAGAAAGGGAAGAAAGATCCAAGGTTAAGAGGCTTGAGGAGGTGGACCCTGCAAGAGACTGAGACGTGGACACCGTTATTTCATACTTTTAAATACACAGTTCATAACATCTGTTCTCCAGATAGCCTTGAGCATTAAAAATAGATCACATTAAGATCCTCCTAGAGGTCACACAAAACTAGAAGGCTACATAGAAAGAATCAAATCCATTCTTCCAATAGGCTCTAACCCAAGTTTTTTGGCTTTTTAATGTACAATACTTTCATTTTGAAGGAAAAAACTTGCACCTGCAAAAACTCTAAGTGATTTGTGATCTCCTAAAGTCATCATCATGGGCTGGGCACAGAAATGATACCCGAGGCCACACTGCCTTCTGCTCATTCCAGATCAAAACATGGGATGACCTGAATCATGCTTTGGCTGTTCAGAGCAATATGGCTGGGCCTTCTGCCTTCCGGAAGAATCGGTTTTACTATAATCTTCCTTCTTCCGCACTAATGCTGTTGCCTCAAATCTATGTTTCAGAAAATGGGCAGCCCCATAAGACATGGATATTATTGACCTTGAGATAACTGGCAGAGTATGTACCTAGTTCCTTTAATGTACTCTTGGGTTTAAAAATCTAGAAGGAATGAATCCCCACTTGTTTCCCTAGGGTATAAGATGAGAGATGGAGAGAGCGAGGGGTAGAAATGAACTTT